ATTCATTTTGAGATCTGCAGTGCTTATAATTTGCATTAATGTAGTTCAGATTACTACCAGAACTACAGTATTTAGATGAGGTCAGAAAACTGCTTAATGAAATAAATTTTGATTATTTGATAACAAACTTTCTTCCAAAGTAAGAAGAGTAAGCAAGCAAAATGAGCAGAAATCGATATAAATAATTAGTTCAGATCACACAACCAGCAGTCTGAATTGAGGAGATCATTTGTAAAATGGAGTTTAGGTCCAAACGCGAGGAAGCAGGGTCTGTGTTGCAGTTCTTCCCCAAAGTCTTCTGTCTGGTTTTGAGCTGGAAGTCTCCTCCCCCAGCAGGTTTGAACAATTTATGGAGAGTCACACTGCAAGTTTTGCTCTGCATCCCCTCTGACTGTATCTTTGCCAGCTGCCCAAGTTACCAGCTGTTACTGCACTGTGCAATCAGCTGAAACATGATTAACATCTGTCTGATGAGGGAGCACTGGCAAGCAGTCGGGTGGATGTCCACTGAAGAGGGGGGAGTGATGGCTTCATTGGCCAGTGCAGTGGGGTAAGGGAGGGGATGCCTGTTGGTACCCTTAGGATTGACCATGCCAGGCATTGCTGGGCCCAGCTTCTCACCATCATTCTGGGAGTGCAACTCACAAATCTGAGCTCAATGACTAAACTGCATATAAAATCAGAGGGGTTGGTTAGGTACTAAAATCCAAGATGCACAGCAGAGAGCATGCCAGGCAGGAGCACACCTCCACCAGTCCACAGGAGATGCCAGAAAGGAGTGCCCATCTCCCAGACTTAGCCACCTACTTGTAGTCCTGAGTGTGCCCACGTGCGTGCCTCGGATTCACTCTGAACCTCTCTACTGGAATGAGACCACCTCTGTGAGTGCAGGCAACCAGCACGTTTCATTCCTTTGAAATATGGACAGCGCTAGTGCTAACATGCCGTTTTGTGTCAAGCTGAGCAGTTAGAGCTCGGGGAAAAGATCTGAGTTCAGTGCCCTCCTTAGACTAAAGGAGTTTAAATCCATACCTCTCATAAGAGTTCCTGAACCACTGCGACCTACTGGGCGTCCTCAGCTTCCTCGACTGACTCCAGACCTCAGGGTAGTGGAGGGTATGAGACTTGGGCAGAGGTAGAGATGTGGGAGCAGCTTGTGTCACCCAAAGATTAGAGCAGTCCACACGGAGGAGAGTTTTGTGTCCTGTTCCTTGCTCCCAGGATTATATCTGCTTTTACCCAGTTACCGTTTGGTGTGAAAGATAATGTCCAAGGTAAGAGTCTATTACATATAGTAATAGTAAGTCAAATAAGTCAGAGGCCAGGGACTGGAACCAAAACCCGCTGTCAGCTATGGGCTTGACACTGTGAATCCGGTACATTTCCCACTAGGAGACTTTGCCCTCAAAATGGGTCATTTTTAAGGGTGTTATCTGAAGAAAAGCCTGAAATGCTAAAGCAAGACTTCATCACTTCTTTGCAGCTTTTTTTTCTTACATTTGTCAGTGCATGTGAGCAGTGTGGTTTTCTTTCCTAGATTGCTTGTGGTGTACAAAAACAATCTTGCAGGAACAACCCCATATTAAAGAGGAAAGAAGCAGCATTAGTGTTTCCTGGAAATATACTGCTTATGCTGTTAAAGATTGGAAATAGCAATGTAGCTGTGAGTTAAAGGTTTCAAGATAAATTAAACCAAATCTCTTAAAAATACAGGTCCTTTCAATACTGGGTTTTACAACTGAATTCTCTCTACTTTTCCAGCTGCTTCTAATGGCTTAAAAGGAATTTTTTACGCAGTCAGGCCCTATCTCTTCCCCTGGGGTCTCTAAATAAAGCTGTCTACAGAGACAGCGTGCCACTTACTCCTCTAGTTGCTGCACCGGAGTGGTGAACATATATGCATATTTTCATCTCTCTGCCGTTTAACAGGATGCTTTTGAAGGCAAGGAAGCTCAGCAAATTTAAGTGCTTTACATTTTGAGGACAAACTGTCTCTGCCAGCACTGTTTTATTTACAGCTCTGTTTCACTGGGTGACTATATGCAAAATCTAGCATCAAGAGTGATATATATATATAAAAAGAGGTCATGTTTATAGAGTCAGAAGATAGGTAAGCTCTGTGGTTTATATACGTTGGCAGCTATGAAACAATGGTGAAGTTGCAAATAGGAAAGACTTACACAAACAGACTAAATTTTAATAAGCCCATATGCATCCTGAGCTTTGGGAATCCAGTTCTGCTGCTCAGCTATCAGTGTTCCTGCCACAGATATTACTTGAACTTTTTCCTTTTTTCCATATTTTAGTCTTACTATTTAGATAGCAAATGGACAATAAAATGCATGCAAGAAAGTCTGAGCTTTATTCTTATAGAAGGAAAAAGATTAAATGCTAAAATACAAGCAAAATTTTAATATCAATGCCAGAAGACCATACAACAAGGTATCCAACCATCTGTAATGGCTAGAAATAGCAGACTGGGATGCCATACTCCAGGCGTGCATGTGGGGTTATTGTGTGACTCTGTATAAGAAATGTATATACTGTCTCTATATACTTATATACATACATGACGTGGTATTTCTGTGCTTGCATACTGTCCCAGTAGGCTCAATATACCTAATCTGTTCTACCTGTAAAAGCTGTGAATGTAATGTGTGGTACAGTCACCGTACTGTGTCATTATCCTTGCGCTATGACTGAGGCAGTGCAGAGAGCAGAGTTAAAGGTGGGGCTTTTCTACGCCCAAAATGGAGGCGCGGTGGCTGCACTGCACGAGTGGGATAAACACGCACCAGTGCCAGCTGGAGGCATACCGGCCCTTGCAGAGGCAGCTCTTTCTCCCTATCCTCAATCCTGCCCTGAAATTTGTAATTTTATCACATGCAGGATGGGACATTTGCCCTTGAGTAATTAGTAGGAGGTTTCCCAGTTGATTCGCGTGCTGCAGCAGGGCGGCGTTAGCTCCCTGAGCTGTGGTCCCCGACCCACGGCGCAGATGAGCACACGTGTCTGCCGGGCCGTCGCCGCCCTCTCTGCCTCTGCCTGGGTTGTGCCTGCCTGCGCTGCCTGCACTCCTCATCACGGGCGGCGCAGCACGCAGTCGCGGGGTTGCAGGCTCCCTTCTCCTCTCCTCCGTGTCAGCTGGAGCTAGGTGACTGTCGTGGTGCTGTCAGGGCTGCAAGGAGGCTAAAAGGCAGCGCAAGGCGTGATGCTGTCTGCAGCACGCTCTTAGCTCAGTGCCGTTGCCCATGGAACAGTAAAGTGCAGGGAGGGTGCTAGATGCTGCATGATTTCACTCCTGCTTCTCAGATACCCATTCCAGGCAAGGAGCAATCCTGGAAAATGTTACAGTACTTTGTTGGCCAACCTTGTGTTGTTTTTCCTATTGCACAGAGCAGTACACAGCTCCGCTCCTGTGGTGTGGGTGTGCTGCTGCTTGGAGCCTGCTGCGAGGCAGGGGGAGGCCGGAGCGATGGGCCTCCCAGCATCGAATGTCGTACGTGCGGCACGAGCGTTTCCATCAGAGCGTATTCCTGAGTTGGCTCGCCTGCCGGCAGGCTGTTAGTGTTGTGATGTTGAGTGGCTGCGGTGGAAGAACATGTATGAATGAATTTCGAATGAGATACCGCTGAAGCCAGCGGCTCAACATGTGGTGTCTTTTGCAGGAAAGGGTGGGTAAGACAGTCCTCTTAGGCAAGGAAGTCTCACATCAGGGCAAAACAAGTGTTATGGCCAGTTAGGACATAATAATATGTTTTTGAGAAATGTCAACCTCTTTCATGGTTAACGCTGAATCGGCAGGCTGTCCTGGAGCTTACATGTGTGAGCTTTTGCAATCACATTGTCACAGCGACAAAAATGGTCAACAGGGGTCCTTAGGGAGCTGTCAGCCTGGAGAACAGCGTTAGGAGACATGAGAGGCCGTGTTCAGCTCCTGCCTGTATTGCTGCTAGGCAAGGAGTTTCACCTCTTTGTTAAGACATTTGTAATAAAGAAGTCACATTTACCCAGGAGAATATGTTGCAATTGGTATTATATGGATAGATGCCATGTTATTTTGCTTAGAGATGTCTATCAAATGGGTGAAAATATTTTTTAAAGTCTCCTAGTAACATTGCTGTTGAGCTCTGCTACACGCAGAGCTGGCTTGAGCGTAACTACCACACTTGGAACAGATACTAGCAGTGACCCCTTTAATTTACAAAATGTTCTCGAAGATCCTATAAATAGCCACATGCCTAATTTTAAGCATAAGTAGTCTCCTGTGCTCAGTGTTAACCTTGTGTGTAGCTGTTATCAGCACAGGGGTCAGAAAGGGTAATTCGTGCTTTGCAGACACAGTTCCTGGTCTCAGACGCAGTTCAGTCTTTCAGAAAGCTCAGCCTTCGAGGTGGTTGCGTCTTCAGGCTCTGCTGACTCTTGTCGGCAGTGCCTAGCTCGGCAGCCCTTCCCAGCACTGCGCTCCAAGCCAGGCGGGTCAGGGAGAGGCTATTATTAAGCCTTGCTTCTTCGAAATGCTTTCGATAGTGAGATCTGATTATGGTGTGGTCTACTTAACCGGAGATGAGCCTCAGCTAGGGCTCCTGCTCTCTCTGCCGCAGCCAGGACTTGGCTTTGAAAGCTGTTGGCATCTTGCAAGGGCAAGAATGTTTTGGGGGCCAGAACACCGGAGGTATGAAATCTATGTGGTGTGTTTACTTGTTCGGGTCTTGCTTGGAAAAGTAGATTTGGGAGTAGCGTGATACCGAGACAGTATTTGGTATCTTAGTCTCATAGATGGGAGTGTTTTGTTTATCAGGAAAACTCTGTTGCAGCTTTGGACTTCATGTCCCATGGTCATTTTGCTTCCCCAAGGAGAGGGTCACTGACATCTGCATCTGTAGATGTGATATAAATACTCTGTGAAACAAAGAAGCTTTGCTGCTCTCCCTCCCTCCCTCCCTCCCCTTGCAAACTTGCCCGCAGTTCTGATCTGGTTACAGCTGTGGTGACTCGGGTCTGGTTATCAGGGGTGTTGTACTGGGTGTGGAGTTTGTTAGAAGTGATGAAGCTGGGTCTCTGGGATACCCTTTTGAAGAGCTAAGCTTTGCATTTGAGCACTTTGAAATTGGGCTGAGGAATATTCTGGGCTGGGCTGAACCAGAGCCACAGAGAAATGGGGGCTGGTCTCAGACCTGGTGAGGTTGGGAAAGTATTGGGTTAAATCCGAACACGTCTGATCCTAAGACCAGTTGCTAAGAGTTGCCGGATGGTAAGGATGGTTGCTGGATGTCTCATCCTCTTTAAGGCTGTGAAGACAGGCTCTGACAAGGCCTTTTCCCAGTCTCAGGTATTCAGGGGTGGAAGATGTGCCCATCACCATCAGCTGTGCGAAGGATTTAAGAGAGATTGTGCACTTGAAGGTTTATCTGCTGCGGCGGGGATGATGGTAGCTGCAGCTGCATCTCCCCCTCGTGGAAAAGATAGCAAAAATGGGATTTGTGGTAAGTCTGCAGCCGCTGGCCAGGGGTGTCTGTGCGTGGGATGGCACCCAGAAATTCTCAGGTGAGAGATGCTCCCCCTGACCGGCTGCCTAAAGGATGTTGAAAAGTTATTTCCATCCCCTTGGATAAAGTCACCATCCATTATTGTGGCTCTGCAGCATGAGACCTGGATATGGCTTGGGATATTTGCCACTTGAGTGACAGACTGACAAAAATCCTAACTTTAGGGTGGGTTTTTTTCCGGATGATAAAACTTTCTTAGTACATCTACCTACTACTGACCTTAGCAAAATGAGAGCAGTTTTCCTTGTATATGTCAGAGCTTGAGAAATAAAAGCTGTCATCCACAGAAAGTAAGTAATCAGATAGATGGCTTAGCACCCGAGAAGCACTTGAGAGCCACACGTGATTAGTGGGTTATTTTAAGGCTATTAGAACTGCCTTACCATGCTTCTGTGCCACATGAAAACCTGCAAACCTGTGTACGTATATATATGCATATACCCTGTTAGCCTATACACATTTATACATATATACATGTATGTGTACATCATCTCAGAAACCAAAATAGAAGCAGCTTTCCTCCCAGCAAGTAGTATTTTTGTATGGTTTAAAGCAAGAGAAATCTCCAGCTACAGTTGCGTGCTCTTAATCACTGTGTTCCTGAAGGAGCCATGTGAGCAGCCTCATTCATCTATTGATGGCTGTGAGAAAGCAAACAGGTTGTCACAACAAATGTTCCTAGCCGAGTCCTAAAATGGCTTCTGTGGTGTGAGGGTTTTGTGTCCAAATGCTTTTTTTCTGCTCCTGTTGAAGTGCCAGTTCTGAAGAAATGTTGAAAATCTGGAACAAATCCAGCGCTTGTCCTCAGGGATGTTTGAAAATTCATGCAACTTCTAAAATTCACACAGGACAGACAAAGGAAGGATGCTTGTGATTCATTGTTATTTTGAAAACAGTCTTTGAGTTATAATTTCCATCATGTTTTCACTCTTCCCTTTTCCTTTCCAGGGAGTGAAGCCGATTTTAGCTCTTCAAGCAGCACGGGCAGTATTTCAGCGCCTGAAGTCCATATGTCTGCTGCTGGAAGCAAAAGATCTTCTTTTTCTCGCAAGTAAGCAAAGCAATTTTTCCTGAATATTGCAAGTGTTGCTCATGCAAAGATAGACTACTGTGTAAGGTCTTGCAGCTAATACATACAATACCAGTATTGTGAGTTTTAAAACATTTTGGGTAACACTTTGCTCTCGGGCAGCACTTGCACTGATGAGAACTGTGATATGAGAAAGAAAAAAAAATTGCTGTATTTGGAGCACAAAAATTGTCAATATGCCAGATCAGCTGACTGCTATTTTTTTGTTGTTTATTCATAACAAGTATGGGAGAGACAATCAGGTAAGGCAGAAAAGGCATTGGCTGGAATGGAGGAGCAAACAACTGGGTGTATGTTAGTTAACAGAAGTACTTCTAACCAGTTAACCTTAACCTTTTGATCTTATCACTTTGTTTTCTCTCTGTAATAAATTGTCAGCATGTACCTTTCCAGATCATGACTTTATTTTTTGTAAGAAGAAGTAGACAATATTGCCGTTGACGCTTTTTTTCTTAAATACCCTTGCCCAACCTTTATATAACTAAAACTATATGCAGATAAAAAAAATTATCATAGTCATTTACTTAAATGGACCTTTCATGAAAGATTTCTGTAAGGTTTCTCCCTATCATGTGGGAACTGCAAATCTAGACAGCTTGCGAATACGGGGGCGTTTGGATGGAGCAGCGGACGTTGTGCTCTGCCCACGCAGTCCCTGCTGGTTACGTTTTTTGGAGAAGGAGGAAAGAGTTCAAATTGACAGGACTGGTTTCCTGCCCTTTGTGGAAGAGCTGGCAGGGAGGCTGGGACCGGCAGCAGGATACCCGTATGCTTAAGTCACGCAGACATCTCCAAGGTCGCAGTGTGCCCCAGTGTACAGAGATCAGCAGAATGATGACACTTAATGAGCAGCTTCCTATCTGTATCATGAGACTGTTAGAACAATAAACATTACTTAAGCACTCTCTAGATTAAATCTAACAAGTAAAGGTACTGGCTGTGGGGAAGAAAACAGTACTAAGTATAATATGAAGCCCTAAAATCACCTTACTTTCAGGAAGATTGTGTATCATTTAATGTATTATTGTGTATTTAAATATAACTTTAAAGTAGAGCATACGCACCTACTTAATTGGACAGAAGTCCTCTGTAACAAGGCTCCTTCAAATGCATTGATGTGTTATGCACAGTCTGTGCAAATTCTGTCTTACACAAGAGTTGATGCTGTACTGTACAAAGTGGAAAGAGATGTCTCCTTTGCAATATATTCTTTTTTAACTGCTTGACTTAACTCACTATGAAACATTTCAGTGTTGCCACAAACCACAGTCCTGCACTTCATTGTAAAATAATTATAAAATCACCCAAACCGCAGCAGTGTGATGAAGGTTTGCAGCAGCCACTCAACCATCTGTTCCTTATAAACTGTTCCATTTTCAGAGAAGGGAGGAAACCAAGTCAGACAATTTTAAGAAGAGATTTTGCTTCATAATTCTGCGGTATTTAAGTTTTTATGTTCAAGCCTTCTCTTTTGCTGGCTGGATATGCCTTTTTCCATATTTTTTGAAACCTGCCCTTTCATTACAGTTTAGAAGAACAACTTCCATGGGAGGGTGAAGGTAGCAGTGTAGTAGTGCAGGAAGGCAAACCAAGTGAGCAAGCGAGGAACGCACCTCGGGAAGCTGACCTCAGAGCTCCCCAGCCCCTTGGCAGCTATCAGGCAGTACGAATACCAATTGCTTTCAAGCACACACAGTTGACCATCAGGTTATTTAATAAAGAGTGGGAAAAGGAAGGTAGATATGTATGAGAGAAACTGGAAGGAAGAAAGAAAAGGCCGTGCTTTCCTTTGTCTATTTTAATACCATTTCAGCCTGCTCTCAGCGGGGTTCAAACTACATCTAAGCAAATGAATAGCTGACAATGACAGCTGAAGCACCCAGTATGCCAAAGGCAGAAAAGAACAGTGGCTCAAACAAAATCTGTTTTCACTGCACGCTGTGATCCCTCGGGCTGCTTGCTGAGGAGCATGAAAGCAGTCTTACAGCAAACCTCCAGGGTTGGGCATCTCTCCGCAAGCCTGGCCGGGGAAAGCTGAAACACGGTTCTTTTGGCACTAGTCCAGGCTGCAGTCCTCTCATTACTTAATGGACTCAGAGGTTCAGGGAACGTGGACGATCTGATGGAGTCACTGGGAACCGTGCTATCCACAGAGAAATGTGAAAATGGCCGAGGTTTACCTAGATCACGTAATTCAGACTGAGAGCCCCACAGTCAGTGAAAGAATGTGCAGCGGCTGATGACTTCAGGACTTTCTTCCCAGCTACTCACAGTTATCTATCTGGTTTAGTGTTCAGACAGCTTTGTGTGTAAAATAAGACACATAATGGGTTGCATGACAAGGATAATCCAATATGCTTTAACCATTTTGGTTCCCCTCCAGTCGTGGCCCTTATGGTCGGAATAATGGATCCTTGTCCTACAAGTCCGGAGCCAGCCCACCTGCTTCCCGTGAAAAGGACCCTTTGTCAACATTGTGCAAAAACCAGCTGAGTCCTGCTAACATCCATCAGAGTTACAGGGCTTCTTCAGCCAGCAGCAGCAACTCAGGCTCATACAAAGGAAGCGACAGCAGCCCAGTGATGAGGCAAGTCTTTATTTCAGCATCCTGGTGTTCAGTGCACTGACTTACCTTCCCTGCACTGTAACGCGGGATCAGCTGTCTGAGCTGCCGAGCAGGTCACCTTGCTCCTCAGCATATGTGTGACTCCTCATGTTAGTGGCTCGGCAGTCAACAGGGTGCTCCATCCCATGTAAAAGCTTTATTGTTTCAGCACTGTAAAATTCATGGTTACTTTTAGTCAAAGCCCTCTGTAGCTGGTTTTTGTTCCAAGGCGGGCTCCTTCATGTGGTTTCATGAAGGTTCTTTCACATAAGGGTCCTTTCGCTTTGGAGAGAGTTGGGTGGGGTAGTATAAAAAACATTATAGACTGGGGTGAAAATTCACCCTGCCCAGCCTTAGGCACCTCCCTAAGGAGTGCAGTGTCCTGTGCAGGAAAGAAAATGGATACCTGCCAGAGCATGAGACACATACTGCAGAGAAGAAATTGCCACCATGATGCTGCTGTTTCCCTCTCTCCCTTTCAGGCAACTCAAGAGCCAAGCGTGTCAGGTACACACCTAAAGCTAGATAGGGTGAATCTAGGTTTCAGGGTGCTGAGCTTCATAACTTGCGTGTGGAGCTGAACTCAGTCCGTACGCTACCTCACCTGGCCGTGTCTACAGCTGGGTGCCCTTGCCAGTGGCCCGGCTGCCTGCTCTTGGGCACACCACCCATTTCAGGTGAGGGGATGGCTAGGTATTTTAAAGTTAAATGTCTCATTTGATGTAATGGCACTGAAACCAAGTACAGTAAATAGCAAATTTTGCACTATAGCCACAAATCAGCCATTTCCTCAAATACTTTGATTTGCCAGAGGGAGTCACTTGTGCGGACACTGAGGAGCCCCAAATGAGTCAAGCGTAGACTCAGCTTTGTATCAGTCAATGGGATGTTTTTCTTTTTGCCAGGACTAAAGAACTGTAGGAGTGATGTTATGTGATGGTTTGTTTTTTTCTTCTTTTCAGGCGATCAGGGAGATACAATTCTTGCGGTGACAATCAGAGCATTAAGCTACAAAATCCAGAGCAGTATTTGACTCCTCTGCAGCAGAAAGAAGTTACAGTACGGCATTTGAAAACAAAGCTGAAGGAATCTGAGAGCAAACTTAAAGAAAGGTATATTTCACTTCAGAAATCAGTTAGAAAGATTTATTCAGGAGCATTTAGGGGTGGGAATGCTGAACATTTTTAATCATTTCTTGACCACATAAAGCTTTCATTAAGAAATTTGAAATATGATCAGTCTGATTAGGTTGTTTTCAGGTATTTCAGGTTTCATAGTGTGCTCAGGATATACATACCATGCAGTTTAGTTATGAATATGGCTGTCTCTCTCCCTTTTTTGAACTTTCCCAACAGAATATTTTTAAAGGATAATTTTTTACCAGTCTGATTTAGCATTGACACCTTTTTTGCATAAAACAGGTTCTACCTGCCAGCATGTATTACCTTAGTCTCCTGTTCTACCTCATTCAGTGAAATATGACTACAAATGTCCCTCTTCTCCCCTGATGAAAGAAAAGCTCTGACACAAACCAGTGTGCCCACTTGTGTTTTTGTCGCTTAGACATTGACTTTTTCACAATAGCCCTTTGTACGGATGCTGAGCAAAGAAGTGACAATGTGCATTACACAGCAATAGATGTTGTCTCTTTTACTAAAACCGCCCTGAGAGCTGGCTCTCCAGCACACACATCCCAAGCAGGCACAAAGGGCCGTTTGAGTCAAGAGTAGAGTAGAGGCAGAGTCCCAGGGACCTCGTGGTCCAGCCTGGGATAGCCTGACCTCTGCATCTGTGAGGGCTGGATCTCATGTAGGGGCCCCCACTCCCCACTTGCTGGCAAGTGAAGGCAGCAGCCTCTAGCTCCACGCGGGGCAAAGCAAGCTAGGTGCCTGCAGCCCCGAGCCGTCTTGCTGTCTGAGGCCAGTGTTGGCTCTGGCTGTACGTGACGAGCTGCTGGCAGGCACGGGGGACACATCCAAGCAGCTGTTTCTCATTTCCTCCAGGGTGGGTGAGGCTGTAGGTGAGATGTTAAGAGTTGTACTGGTTGGACCTAACCTAGAGGCCACCACTTGCACCTCAAAATGTCTGGGATCATGGCATAGCCCACAAGGCTGCTGGCTGTGTTGGTGCAAGGTTGGTGACTCCAGTTAGCAATCAGCCAGCGTGTCATGGCAGACGGCTTACATTTCTGCCAGCTCTCTCAGAGATGGCAGCAAATGGTGCATGGAGGAATTTGCTTCCTTCTTGGAGCATCTCTGCAGCATAGCCATCCCAGTGCGGTGGAGCCTCACGATGACTCTTTAACTGACCAGTCAGCAGAAGTGTTACAACATTTTTATTTTGCTACAGGGAAACAGAAATAGAAGAGCTCAAAGCTCAGCTGGGACGAATGAGGGAAGACTGGATTGAAGAAGAGTGTAATCGTGTGGAGGCAGAGCTGGCCTTAAAGGAAGCAAGAAGCAAAATTAAACAACTCAAGCAGGTTATTGAAACCATGAAAAACAGCTTGGCTGAGAAAGACAAAAAAATTCAGAAATACTTCATAGACATAAACATTCAAAACAAGAAACTGGAATCTTTGCTGCATAGCATGGAGATGGCTCAGAACAGCTCTGTGAGGGATGAGCAGTGCCTGGAATACACGTGTGACTCGGAGGGGAAGCCATTAGTCTTGTGTGCCATGATGCCAGACAGCCTTATCACAGAGGACCAAGCTCTGGAGGAGGTGGCAGATAATGGGCTGCTTCTTAATGAGGACGCAGCTAACGGGACTGATTCATCTGAAGGGAGTTTGACCACCACAACATCTGAGTTTAGTGATCCAGCTCCTTCCAGTTCTGCTTTGAATGAAGAGATGCTTGAAAATGTTCTGGATGAAAAACTAACTCCTCCCCAGGAGGAGGAGAAGAGCAGCAGCGTGATGGTGGAACAGGCCATCCAGACTGACGTGGTGCCATATACCCTAGATGTGGAGCAGCTCATTCAAAACATCTTTAGAGCTCAAGATGCCTGTCCTCTAAGCCCACCTTCTTCACTGAAGGAATTGGGTGAATTTTCTCCTGGAAGCTTCAGCGATTCTGGTATCATAGTGGACTTAACTCCAAGTGATCCAAACTCTGCCATCCTTTTGTCTCCTATGGAGTCTCCGTGCAGGAAGGTGGAGCATGGAGTTAATGAAAACCGTTTCATGAAAGAACTTGATTTTACAGAACCTCATGATGATGAAGCCTTTGGGTATGTCAATACTTTCACTCAGTCAGGAATAAAGAGGAGATACTGGAGCAGCAGTCCCCTCAGAGATGTTCTGGCTGTAGCAGCCCCTCTTGTACCAACTATCATGTGGGCTTTCAGTACTCAAAGAGGAGGAACAGATCCCATTTACAATATTGGAGCATTGCTTCGTGGTTGCTGCCTGGTGGCCCTGCACTCTTTACGCCGTACACCCTTCAATATCAAAAACTAAAGGCTACTCTGTCCCTGGGCACCAACCGGCTGAGGCAAAGAGAAAGAGGGATGAGATAGATCATAAAAAGTTATTATATATTCTGGCAGAGTCCATCATTTTGCTTTTGACTATTTGATTTGCACTATAAATCAGTTTGAAAACATGTTCCTTGTTTCAAAATGAAAAAGCTGAACCCTGTAGTTCCACAAGATGTTTATAACTGGTGTTTTTAACAGTACTGCTGCCTACAGAAACAGTCCTCCTGCTCCCAGGCACTGTGTCCCTCCCCTGTGCTGGTGTCTTTCTGGTGCCAGTGCATCTGCACAGTGAACATGACCAGGGAAATCAAGGAGAATTACAGCTAGCGCTCTTTCGTGTTGGCTGAATTAGCGTTAAGCTCAGTCACTTTCCCTGGCTGGTTCACTGAGCAAATGTACAAGCGCTTTGCACCGGCTCAAGGATAGCACGAGGTGCACGCGGGAACAAATGGCCAGAGAAAGGAGGGGTATTTAGGCAGCACTAACCTAAAACATTTGTGAAACTACAGTGTTAAGTAAGTAAGCGATGTGGAGACTCGTTCCCACATGCACTCCAGAAAGCATGCTAGCGCTTTCCATTTGTTGTCTGAAGTGTCGATTCAATTTAGAGGTAAAACCCATATTCCCCAGGAAGCTTCCAGCACATCGTTCGTGCCTGTCTCGTGTAGTGCTCTTCTCAATCGCACAATTGCTCGAGCATTTCACTGGTCTTGTGCATATACGGGAACTGTAACCAAAAATGTACGTTGTTGGGAGTCTTGAAACGTGTTACAAGGATAAGTATAGGCGTGGATACACTTTGAATATTAATGTTGTTTTAAAGTCTTAATGTATTGGAACCCAATAATCATTCGAGCCCTTTGAAATACTATGTATAAATGTTTTGTGTTTTAACTTATTGTTTATTTAATTGCTTTATTGTAAATTACCTTTATAATCACAAGTTCAGTAAAGCATGTTAGAAATGTTAAACGTGTGAGTGTTTTATTGTAGCAAAGCTATAAAAAATACCTGTCTCAGCTGAGCTGTCAGGCACAGGCCAAGTGGGAGGAGGCACTGTATCAGGGCATAAGGAACCGTCAGGACCCGGAGAACAGAGACTGAGAAAACCTAATTACAGCTCCAAGCGTAAGCACTCAGCCAGAGAAAAAGGCTCCAGTGGGTCTGCAGACCCGCACGCCACCCACTCTGCCGCACCGAGGCTGCGTGCAAGTGACCTAATCTTCAACCCAATGCAATCTTCTAGAAGCTTGTAACTTCTCATTTCTGCACTGCCAGGAGAGTATCAGTCTTCCTGGCATTTAACAGAAGACCAGAAGGCCTTGTTTAACCCGGCCAGCAGTCATGCAGTCTCGGTGTGCACACTGAGATGCCACTGTGTCCATCAAACCACGAATTCTCCATGTCCAATATTTGAGATCTGTGCATAGATCAGAGGAGGGCAACACTACCTAACAGATGAAACAGTGGGGTTTGTCTGGCTCCACCCAAGCTTTCAACACCACCTCTGGTCATTGAAACCTCACTGGCCTCCTGTTTTCCCCTCCAACAAAGCAAGTGTAATATTTCCCTGTGCAATGCAGAGCAGAAGAGGTCTAGTGACCTCTGCAACTTTTGGGAAAAAGGGAGTTATTAGTAAGCCACAAGGGAGGAGGAATAATTGGCCAGGATGCGGGGAACATTTGCAACACTCAAGAGGGTGACGCACACCTCTCATAAGGCATTTAACTATGCTCAGCGAGAGGTGACAGAGTTCCCATCACATTCCTGAAAAAAGTCCTTTCTCTGATCTTTACCCAAAATTCAGCTTGCTTCCGAGCCTCCACCTTTCCTCCTCCATACTGCAGGGATGTAGACAGCTCAAGGTGCCCTTTGTAAGAAGAGGCCTGAAGTGCCGCAATAAATGCTCCAGTCCCAGACGCTGGGGGACTGGCCTTTGTTCCCCAATCCACAGAGGATACACCGGCTGTTGCTGCAGACATACCATCTTAATTTTTTTCCCTCTAATATTTGGCTTTATAAAGTCTTAGTCATGTCTCACCTGGATCCCGCTGGTGCTGTATGGAGTAGCTAGGGGAGGACCATCGGCCTCCCAACAGTTCAATAAAAACTCCTTTCTTTCTAAGCTTAGAAAATGTTTGTACCCACACCCATACCGCCCTGGAAAGTCTTGCCTCAAAGCATGCAGGTGGGGGGGACATGCAGCTCATCAGCTAAGGGTAAAATAGCAGATGTCTGCTTGAATTCAGGCTTATAGCATAGGAACCAAGTCAGCTCCTTCCCGGGCTGAAGCAATGCTTGTTGATAACCCCCTTATGCATTTTCCTTTCTAACCCAGGAACAAAAAAGCCTTTCTTTAATATTCAGTTTAAGAGGTACCTGATATGCTCCTAAGCTGCTGAAAACAGGCCCAGGCACTGCCCACCCCCCCCCACCAGAGATGCACCTGCACCCTTATGTCCACCCTCTCACACGGCTGTTCTTAACTTCTGATTACTTACTCACTTCTCTTTCCTTTCCCCCCAAATCAACTTCCTCTCCTAAATTCCAACCTCTAGAGACATACTAAAATGAAAGCACTGTTTTATATATGTCCTACATGAGAAGAACAAGTGAGCATTTTGCTCCAAAACCCTTCAGACAAATGAACACAGGATATTGCAAACATGAATTATAGCACAGTCAAGGAAAGGATGATTTTTCAGTCATCCTGGCGGGTCAATCCTCCATAGTGAAGAATAACAGTGAAGGCAATCAAGTCTAGCTTTCAGTAAAGAAAAAAAAAAGGACATGGCCAACAGGCCAAGTATGGAGAGGGAAAAGGAGAAGCCTGTGGCAGCAGGAGGGAAAGAAAATAAGCGTACGCAGTGGGTGTATGAGATCCCTCAAGAACTCAAACCAATGGAAAAGATAATAATGGAGCCACAGCTACACAAAAGGTTTAGCAAAAATGTTTCCACATTTGTTGGATAAAAATCAAGATACAGGAAGGAGGAACGAAGATGTAGCACAGGAAAAAGATGAAACCAATGCATGGGTTTTTAACATGCAAGATACTACCTGCAAGAGCACCGTATCCTTACTGGTATTATGTCAGCACATGGTAGAGGAGATGGGAGTCTTGCCTAGAGCAGCCGTGCTCAAGTACAGGCAGGTAGATGGAGGGAAGAACACCAAAGCAGTACGCAGCAGGAGAGGGACAAGCAGTGCAGGAGGGCTGACATGCAAGGTGGCAGCACCTCACAGTTTTTAAAATGGCTGAAGGCTCAAAAAACAAATGCGCTTTCATGATGTATTCAGGGGCTTTGTTTCTAACTTTTTATTAAGTAGCCCGTGTTTTGTTATTTTTAGTAAATAGTATTTATTTGCATCTATTTTACATTGTCTCAGAAATAGCAATAGTAAGCACTAATTTGCTTAAAAGATGAGATGAAGCTTTCAACAAGTTTTACCTTAAATAGGCAAGATATTAGGTTTCCCTGCCCTGCATCAGCAGTAGTGAAAGAATTATGACTTGTACCTCCTCGCTTCATCAGTGCGGTTAAAAGGACAGACACGGATTGTTATTAAAGCTTATTCACATATTTTCTCCTTATCTCCCACCCACTGTAGAGGTATGTACTAGGAGCAGATTTGCTTGCCATACTGCTGTTTAGTCTGCACAGACTATAGCCATCCATTCTACTCCAGCCAGAACACTTGTGCAGAAAATATGCAGAGAAGTGCACGCTGTTGCCGCCTTAAATTTATTTTAAAAATTTAACATTTCTCAAGGACTTCTTTCCTATCTGAAAATTGCTGTCAAATCAGTTGACTTGTGCAAGATTTTAAGCAATATGACAAGCATACTTAACATTTTAAAAAATGTTTCTCCATGACTAAGGCCATTAAAGGTAATTCTTACTGTCTTGCTTTCTCAATTACTTATCTTTTAAGCAAAACTTGTGTCAGAATCTACTTACAACTTAGTTAAAAATTCTATTTTTCTAGGCAGACATGATCTAGTCAGATAGCTGCCCACCTCTTCCCATTCTTTTACAACTTCACTGTTCCCTGTATGCACAGGGAACAAGTCTCAGGCACAGAATTTGCTATCTTCACTCATCCGTCACAAGATAAGAAATCCATACAACCCATGAATTCAGGGGTAATAGCATCCACGCAACAGAAGATGGAGAAGGGGTTCACTGAAGCTCTGAGCTGGACATAAGAACCACACGGACTTCCCTCCTCCTGTACACCTTTCCCTCCAGCAGACGTTAAACTTTTCTTCTTCATTAAAGCACTGTTGTCTTCTACCGCATATTTACCTCGCACACTTTTCCCAGAGGAATTCCACTGTAAATACATACAGTAAGTGTACAAAAGTGGAATTTTGCGAAGTGCTGTAAATTGAACTGAGAATTTTCACACTAGCTTTATTAACAGGAGGACGCAATTTTTTTTCAATTATACTGCCTATGTATAATGAGTATAAGGTGTGAGGATTTTTTTTCCTAACTGTAGGAAGTAAAAGAATCTCTGCTAGAAATACAAATTTACCAGTACAAGTAAGTGATTAAATCACTCCCCTATGTTCACAACATCAGCCTTCATAAGAAAGGAGCAGCGTGCACCACTGTTGTGTAGCGATGCCCCTGCTGGTAGCCATTGCGGGGTTGTAAATGGGCATGGGAGCACAGGAAGCCGCAAGTCACAAAGTGACACGAAATCCACTTTAGTGTTCAGCTCTAACTCGCGCTCTACCACAGCATACTCTACAAGGAGTACATTTAGAGTTGCAGGTCATCCATAACAAGTAATTTTCTTCTGCACAGGTCAGATCTCCCATGGAAAACTGAAGTATTTACAAGTACTTTTACAAAAAGAAAAAAGCAGACATTCTTTATCAGGCAGGAAACAAAGGGTTCTTTAAAACTGTTTAATTACATGTTTCAGGTAAGCACAGACAATACAGTAGATTTCCCACCACTGAATATTTACATTCTTTTCTCTAGGCTTGAGCTGTTCATTAAGAATGTCTTTCAATCAACATCCTTGCTCAATCACTTTTGCTGCAAAGAAGGGTGCTGGAACAGAACTATTGCAGGAAACATCATTCCATCAGGCATGATTTTCTGTGGGTTTTTTCTCCTTTAAGAACCACCTA